AGAAATTCGGATTCGGCCAGACAGGCACAAGAGAAGCGTCGGCTAACAACGCCTCCGTAAAGCGCTGATGAAGCTGATGGACAGTGAGAGAGGCTCTGCCTTGGAATGCACCCTGCGGGCCTGTCCATGGGCAGTGTAAGATACACCGAAAGTCCTGCCCGTCGGAAGTCGCAGAGACGGGTGCACGGTCGGCAGGCACACGCCAAGGGTACTGCCCGACCCGGATAACAGAAGAGGCCACCTGAGCACGCGTGTTGTCACTGATCATGGCACGGCTGAGTGAAAAGCCAACAAATAAAGTCAATGGCCATGCCGACCGTGGCCCAGCCAGTAATAGCATCAAAGGAGCCCAGTTGGCGACAGGATTGGCAGACGAAGATACTGCCGGTGTTGGCGGGGGGGGGCCCCAGGGTCCAGTATCGGCATGAAGACACTCGCCATCGCGAAAGTGGAGAGGGCTGTCGGCAGAGCGTCTGGTGTGGTACGGCAGCCGAAGTCTACCCCGTCGGCCGTCGAGCCGAATAGAGTGATAATCGGCAGCTGGCATTTCTCGCGCAAGACAACGAGGCAGCAGTTGATCACCATTACGAAACACAACCGATGCCAAACTAGTCTCAGCGGCAGCAGGGATAAGATGAATAGCCCGGTCGTCTGGCTGCGGCTGAACTCCGACCAAAGGTCGCCAGCCGCGGCGAGATGCATAATCAGACAATATATCACGAAAGATTTGAGGCGTACCCACAACCGCCGTCAGCAGCTGGACCTGGGAGTGGCTAGTGAAGGGGTTATGGATAACCACGGGACAGCCTGCCGGAACAAAAGGAACCGGGGGTCGCTCGATATCCACTTCGCAGAGAGCCGCCAATACCCTGCGCTGTATAGCCGGGATTTCAGTGGCCTGAAACGCGGGAGTGAGATCCCCAGGGACACCAATGCTCGGCGCCGAGGTCCGCGCGAGCTCGTCGTCACTGGGGCGAACATAAGCCATCACTTCAGTACGCCCAGTGTCGTGTTGCACAACGGCCCGGGGAGTAGGCGCGGACAGGTCCGAGAGATCGGGTTCACTGGGCGGCTCGGGCTCCGGCGAAGCGTCAGAACTGTCAATGTCCCCATCGCCGAAAGCGACTGGGAGGACAAACGGAAGGCAGGCTACCCACCAAATATGCGCCGAAGACACAGTGCATCCGCCAAGCGCGACGACAAAGGCGCAGCCCCAATGTCCTGTGCTGCGCTGGGGGCCATTGCGGTCACCAGGTGCAAGTCCGGGCGGTGCCGCCACATCGGACTGGTCGTCGGTGGTGCTGGGCTCGGCCTTAGACAGCACTCCAGCCCCTTCGAGTCGAGCGGTCAGCGCACTGAGCTGGGAGGTGACAATAGTAAGCTGTTTGGCTAGGTTGCCGACGTCCGTAGCAGGCTCCTGCGGAGCAACCCGTCTCGCTGCCGCGCCGGCCGTGTTGCCTCTAGCCATAGCATCGCCCTGTAAACGTGGGATAGGGACTTCACCCCGTGGGCCCATACAGATATCGTATTCGAAGCTTCTAATGGGCAATGGATCTGGGGGAGGGTCCCACCCATGACCACTCCCCGCCGGCAAGGGTGGTACCTTAATTAAGTGTAGGATTGCGCCGTGAGGCGGCGCGTGCAAATGTTGGCCATACCTGACAACCTTGTTACTAAACTGAACTCCGAAGTGACCACGAACAAAACAGTCAACCCCAAAGGCGTCGTAGGCTTGCTGCCCAAGGTTGGCCCAGTCAACTGGCCCTGGATGTACCCCAATGACAACAGCTCGGGCACAGTAGTGCAAGAGCCAGTAGACAGCAGGCGGGTTGGTGCCGACTGGAAAGTGAAGGATATGTGCGCATCCCTGCACAACCTGCGGGACAGTCCAAGTGAAGTCGCCCGGAGCGACAACACCACGGCATGTCCCGCAACAGCCTGTGACATACGTGCAGGGCAAGGAGATGGGTCGTATGGGATCACGATAGGTGCAGCAAGTGTGTGAGTCCATACGCGAGTGCACGTGGGTGGAGGTGCGGCGTCCGACCACGCCACTGTATTGCTGGGCACAGCAACGGACAAATCAGCAGCAGGTGCCGGTTGCATAGCCTTAGCTCCCACGACACCGTGTAGGCACAAGAGAACGATGAGCCATCGAGGGCCCGCCCCGAGGGCAAGGCCAGTGACAGTACCTATGGCAACTTCAGTCAGGGCCAGACCGCTATGAGTAAGATGCCCTATGACTCTAGTGAGGGGCTCGGAAGTCATGCCGCGAGCACCCTGTGGAAGACGTTTGAGAGCAGCAACCTCAGCGGAGTAGATGACCGCACTCGCCTGCCCATGTGAATTGACCGTGACAACCCGGACCTCTCTATCGTTGTACCACGGTGCCACAGGTCGCAATAGTTCTCGGGACATGCCGTCTCTGATAATCCACCAGACCGAATGCCCATAGGGTACTGACAAGACATCAATCGTAGTGGCTTGGCTGTCGAAAGCAACAAAAAGCTGCCGTGTAGCAGCGTCATGCCCGGCGGCTGCCATGGTCTGAGCCAGAACGAAGGATGGGGCATCGCGCTGGACATCAAAAGCCGTGGGGCCACGAAAGGGCTGCCACAGGAGTACGCGCACAGTTTGGAACGGCGAGCGGCGGCGAAAGTAATCAGCCAGACGACCCGTAGAGGTTGCAAAATGAGTCGCCTGACAGGCAAGCTCATGACACCATCCAACATTGCATGTCTGAGTGGGGTCATAAATCAGGCCTGAGGCAGGGCTGGCAGCGTCAGCGGCAATCTGAGATGGAGCTGCGAGGGCAACGGGCCAGGACATTGCCCAGCCTAGCAAGGCCAGAAGCCACGGCCGGCTCGAGAAAAGGGTAAGAGAACATCCCGCTGCAGCTACAGGGCCGCTCGGCGGGGGCGGGCCGGAGGTAGGGCCAGCCGAGGTGAAGGGTTGTGGATAGCATATCGTGTGTCCTCCCTTATGCTGTGTCTCCCTCTCAAAGACATGTCCGCACGAGCCTGCAAGCGGTGCCAGGTCATCGGGCCATTCCCATACGTCATGGCCGTTGTGCACTATGGTGCCGGGCAGATCCCAAGCGCTAATACCCAGCACTTCAATCAAAACAGCCCAGGAAACCTCAGGAGTGCAAAGACCGCGGACAACATCATCTGTTCTTAACGCCCATATGTGACGGCGGGAGTGGCAAGGTATAGTGCAATGGACCCCCATATGAGGGCATTCCAGATGAAAGAGCGTCCCAACAGATGGAAAAGTGGCATCCAAAATACAGCCCGCTGCTGCCTTGCGGATGGGTAGCGCGGCGGAGTAGAGCGGCGAGGCGGCGGGATGCCAATGTGCCGGGAGCGTCTGGGAAGCAGCTTCATGACGGCTAGCCTCCCGAACTATCTCGCTCTGTACCCGCAGGGCGGAGGCTCTATCCTGGATGTCCCAAGTGGACGGCCGCATCGCCGTAGAGAGGCCCAACCCAAAGAGACCCGCACGGCCGACGTCAACCGCAATAAACAACTGCTCATGCCCAAAGCCTGAACGCGTCATCGAAGCAAGGATGGTGCTGCGATAAAGGCAGTCAGGCCGACACGCGAAAATGGAAGTCCACAGGGCACCATGTTTGGAACACACACACAAGTCAATGGGAGTTGGTGCTTGTCGACCCTCCGAGTCGATAGTGTGGACAAGGACAGGCTGAGTGCAATCTGCTAGGTCAAAAAGAACAGCAGTCAGCGTGCTCTTATGACGTCTAGGCAAGCAGAATGTGCGCGGAAGCCCAATTGGAAGAGCAAGACGGTGCAGAGTAAGGTCTAAGCACCGTTGCCGACCCAACCACTGTGTGAGCACAGCACTCAGGGTGTTAACTGAGGTATGTGGCGGAACTTGCAAATGCATAAGGTCGAGGTCAGCAGCCGAAACTATTACATCCTCGGCAGTGTCCGGTCCAGGACATCGTATTGAAAAGGAGGCAGTGTGCAGCTCCGGCCAGGCAACAGGGCCAATCTCGAACTTCTCGAACCGATCCTCGAAGCCGTAAATAACATCCCCGTGTCGCAGGGTCTGACTGGAGGAAACATCCAAGCGAAATGTGCGCCCCGGGTAAAGCAGCGCAAGTGCCTGAAGAATCGCCTGACCAGCCTGGGCCTTGGGGACATCGAGGCAAACAACATCGTAGCCAACATCAACCAGCACCGTGCGCAACTGCGGGTCACGGGCCGGTACAACGAGCTGAAGGCTGCGGCGTAAGAGCTGGGGCGACGCCAGCACGGCGTCTGTTCGGCCAGGTGTGACAGCAAGCTGGGCAACAACCGCATGGAGAGCAGACTGCGTAGTGGTGCTAGGAGCCCAAAGCCATTGCCATTGGGCCGGTGAGTACGCTTCAATGCGGAAATGCTGATTGCAGAAACCTGGCAGTGCACTACAGGACCTACCTCCAATAGCCTCTTCATCAGTACTCAACCTCCACTGTGAAGCAAGCCTATCATGATGCAGGCAAGAGGCCAGGCCATCAGACACTTCAAAGGGGGCGGGGGTTGAGCTGCTCCATTCGAGAGGCGGTACACAAACTACATCTGGTGGGCCAACAGACCTTGCACCGGGAAGCGAGAGCAAGATGAGCATGGCAAAGAGCTGCCAACCATGGCCGTTAACGTGGAAGCTCCATAAGGCAAGGAAGCCCAACCCTGGGGCGAGGCAAGGACCAGTCCAAAAGAGCGGAGAAGCACAGGAGACAGAATCCAGCGGACCCTCGTCGGCTAGCCCGGGCGGCCGTGGCCTAGTGACCTGCCTGCGGATTAGAACGAGCTCTCGCAGAGAGCCACAGGAGAGGGCGGAAAATGCGTCAATCACACGCTCGTTGTGCAAGACAAGCACACTGCCTTCCTGGAGCTGACTATGCAGAGGGTGATGGGGGTCAGGATCACCATACCGCCGAACAGCCGCTTCGACGCAATGATAAGGAAGGGCGCGGTCAGTAACACACAGAGCCACTAGCCCCCCCCTAGGGGTCTCATGTCAACGACAGCAGGCAAATCAGTGCCCCCGCATTGAACTGCAGCAAACTGGATGGCAGGGAGGCCCTGAAGAGGCGGCATAATACGCACAAAGTGGAGTGCCTCTTGCGGACCTCGCTCATGACGGAGGTATGCTTGCAATGCTGCGGAGCGAATGATCTGATGATCGGCGAACGTAGGGACATCGGCGTACACATGACCATTAACACCCAGGATTACAGCATTCGCCCCGACTACTTCGTGGAATGCAGCCTCGGTACCTGGGGTCCTGTCCAAACTGAGGGCAAACCTGTCATCAATCGATGCTGACGCCGGCAGTGAGTCGCCAGGCGGAGGCGCGGGCAGAGAAGGCATGCTTTGTGGAGACCACACCTGCAGAGAGTCCCCATATGGCAGCAGGGTGAGGTACGCGCTAGGCAAGAACCAACCGTGACTGCAGCGGCAGAGGAGACCATCCCTGAGGCTCACTGAAGTTATCCCAGCGAGTGCTTGTAGAACAATGTCGCCGCAGGGTTGGCACCGGGTGGCCTCGCACAGCACAACAGGTCCGCCAATGGGTCTTAGATCAACAGGGATGTGACTCCTATGCCACAGCAGGCTCCGAGGAGACAGCACATACTGCTCCGAGGGAAACGCAGGCAAAGGTTCGTTCAGCCGGCGACAATTCCATTCGCTATCCTGAAGGCCAAAGGCACGGCAAATCCAGCTACCGAGTAAGGGCCCTGTGAGCCTTATATCAGCAACCAAGACCTGATGGCAGGGGTCCTCATCGGGCTTAAAGATACATATATCCTTCAGGTAAGCGGGCCTTCGCAAACTCTGCGGATCAACGACCGGCGTATCTGGATGTCTGACAGGCGCTAAGTCGTAGCGGTCGGAGGTCACTGGCACACCTCCTGTGTTAAAGACAGGATGCCCGTTAACCTGACCTTGTTGCCACACCTGGACACCTGGAACCTGCGGTGAGAGGATGAGCCAGATGAACAGGCAACCAGTGCATTTTTGGCGAACGGGTCTAGCGGGGTAATGCGGTCGACAGGAACCACGGGCACCTTGAAGGCAGACGGCCTTGGCACGAGAAAGAACCCCAAGACCGAGGACAAAGAGAAGGCATCCCCCAACAAACGCTAGCCAGGACCCCAAAACCTCAAGCTTGTAAGCATGACAAGCGGAAAGTAGCAACCCGCAACAGACTGCAGACATCAAGCCGCTCGGAAGCGCATAGCCGGGGTCACGGCGGCATTCCTCGTCAAAACCTGCGTCGCCGGATGGGCTGCGACGGATCAGCTTGCTACGCTGGCCGTGTGCTCCGGTCCGGCTGGGGCCGGATTGGCAGGCATGGCTGTCACCACTCCTGGCGGAGGCAGGCTGAGGAGCATTTGTACATGTGGCTCGGGTGAGGCTTCCAAGGGTACAAAACCGCAGAATGGACCGCCATGCTCGAGCAACAGGCTGGGGAACAGCCATTCTTGGGCAGTGGAGGGCGCAAAACTGAAAGGATCCAGAACAAAGCCCAAAGAAGCCTGCACAGCCAGCACAAGACCTTGAGGCAGTTCGGGGAGAACCTGAGGGCACATTCGTAACTGCTGCAGGAAGCTCCTCATCTGCTCGAGCATAGTTGGCACCGATGACTCGTCTTGAGCCCCCACAATGTGCTGCAGGCGGTGCCACAAGACTTGCGCTGCCTCTCTGACGACACTGGCTACATCCGCATTGCGCTGGAGGGGAAGAAGAGCGTCTTGTTCCGGGTGCTGAATGAGCTCGCCGATAACTTCCCCCCCTTGTTCTATTGCAAAGCGCATTGTAAATAACCACCCCGTAAACCATGAGGGCATAGCCGAGGGCAAGGAGTGCGTGTTGTCTGGAACCAGTTCCTCCTCGTGATCTGCAAGCCTCGAAGGGCGCTGCAGGCTCTCTGGTGTGTAACCTGTAGCGATAGAGGCCCAGGGGGCCTCGTTTGCCCGGCAAACATCTCGGCGAGGGCTTTTGGAGGGCCGGGTCTCCGGTTCCTTTTGCTGGCGCTTCCATCTGCGGGCCGGTGTAGTCGGCGCCATCGCATCCAACGCGCCAGAAGGCGCGGCTGCCACGAAAGTAGGATGGTGGGCCGCTTCCCCAGTGGGCGGGTCCTGATAGCCGATGGTCACACCACCAAAGCTCACTTCGGAGTGTATATCCGAAGGGCCGAGCGAACTGCCAGGAAGCGCGTCCGGACCAAGACCCGTCGGCGCGGGGGCCACAGGGAAGGCAACCGAGCCAAAGGCCTTCATAGCAGCGGCAATGCGTATAATCTCCTGCTCCTGCTGTGGGCTCCAAGTCGGTCCCATATTCCGCTGGGCCTGGTGTATCTGCTCCTGCGTGGCCACCGATGGTTGGGCTGCCAGGAAGGATTGCATCTCCTGGATGGCAAGCTGCGAATCTTCGTCTACCTTTGCGCTGATGGCCCGCACCCGACCAAGCAAGCCCATCAGGTGCTGACTGAGCTGCCCCATCCAAGCTGAGAGGGAAGCTGCAAACTCCATCCGGGCCTTCATATTGCCGGTAATACGCTTCGATAGCTTGGCAGTAGCATTCGACCTCCTTTGTGCCATCTGATCTGCAGTAAGCTCGCTGGAAGCAAATGCGGAAGAAGCCCAGAGGTCCTGGGTCGCACGAGAGGAAATCGATTGTAAAGCCGTGACCATAGTCGCTGGAAGTCCGAACTCTACAGTGGAGCTCTGCGCATTCTCGGGCTTGGCCTTGTTTTTGCCAGACCCCTTGGTCGTAGCTGCAGCGCGCTGCTGCGGCGGCATGCTGTTGTGATGGCGAAAGAGCAACTCCCAGTCGGTACGATGGTAAGCTCGATAGCGAAGTCGCTGTCGAGCCTTGCGTCTGGCACGCCTCAGTCGGCGGTGCCAAGAGGGACTGGGAGCACGGCGGCGCCGTATGGCCGCAACTTCCCCAGTGAATGAGGCCCAATCCGAGGCCCCACAGCGGCAGGATGGGAAGAAGCCGCCGAAGATTGAACATATAATACCCGCAGGCCTGGTAACCAGTTGCAATCGGCCGCAGCAGCGAAAGCAAGGAAAACCAGATTGTAAAAGGGGAGTGCGCCTCCCTAAACCAGGGTACCCAGATCCAGCTGAATACCAAGAAAACGGGAACCAAGTCCCAGTGGTTCACGTGGACGTCGGCCGAAGCAGCGAGGTCCAGATGAAAACCAGTTGGGCTGGAGTCGGCCCGGAGGCAGCGATTCCAACCAGAAGCCCCAACGTGGGGGGAAGCTGTGGCCACCCAGAACCAGCAGCGGCGCACCCAATGGCAGGGTGCTGGGGTCGGGAATACTAGAAGAAGGAAACACTCCTGACGGAGAAAATCCTTCAAGGCTAGCTCGAGCCGCGACGCCTCAAAGCCTAAACCCCAAATCCTAAACCTTAAACCCTAAACCCTAAACCCTAAACCCTTAAACCCTAAACCCAACACCCATAATCGACCCTACCCTAAACCCTGCACCCAAAACCCTCCATGGTCCGAGACCCTATCCCGCAAGCCTTTGAAGCCTCAGAGCTGTCGCCTTGTGGCCAGACAGCCAGCTCCGACGAGGAGCTGGCATTCAAGAACAAGGAGAAGGACCGGCGCTCTAGGCTTAGGGTTAGGGTTTAGGGTTTAGGGTTTAGGGTTTAGAGTTTAGGGTTTAGGGTTTAGGGTTTAGGTGTTAAGGTTTGGGCTTATCTTCGGGGAGTGTTTGGGGTATGCATGGCCTTCCTTTGCAGTATTTTCTTCGGGCTTCATGGGTTTTCTAGACAGCTACTTGAGGGTCGTTGGTCGTTGGGGGTTGGGAGGGTTTCGGGCTAGTTGAGGTCATCAGTTTCAGGTTTGCCTCGCTGTCGAAGTGTCGCGATGTTGGGATCGATCGTTTTCAGGATTTCGGGTACAGTTTCGGGGTTTAGCGTTGAGAGAAGCGTGGGACGGTTTAGGGTACGAGGTCGAGGGCCCTCATGACAGAAGCCCCGAGTCCAAATCCCCACACGCAAAGTCCCACATCCCCAAATTCTCCAGACCTAAAGCCACAATCCTAGGCCCAACATCTAAAAGAGCCCAGAGCAGTGTCACCAGCAGATTTTTTGGAGGGTATTATAAGCATTATAAGCATAAGGATGAAGGGGTGACACAATCTACAGAACTTCGCCCTTACCCTGGCCCTAAGCCCCAAACCGTAAGCCCTAAGCCCTAAACCCTAAGCCCTAAGCCCCAAACCCTAAACCCTCAGCCTCAAAGAAAACCTTCAAGCCTCCGCCCGGAACTCGCGCTCTGAGATGTCAGGACATTGCCCTGTACGCGAACAAGGCCGCCTACTGCAGAGACGGTTTAGGGTTTAGGGTTTAGAGCGTAGGGTTTATGCTTTAGTGTTTTGGGGCTTCGGGTTTAGGGCTTAGGGCTTAGGGTTTAGATTTCGGAGGTTAGGGTTTGGGGGTCAGGCCTGGTTTAAGGTTCAGGATTTGGGTTTCGATCTTTGGGGCTTAGGACTACTATCCTGCAACGGCAAGGCCCGAATCCTTACGCCTTACGCAGGTTTGGGTTTAGGGTTGTATCCTCGCCCCACAAACCAAAGAAGAAGAACTGGGCAGGTCGCGGGGGTTATTTTGCGATTTAGCCAAAGACGGCTTCAGATAGTGTGGTGTTGTAAAAACCCTAAACCCTAAACAGCCCTAAACCCTAAACCCTAAGCCTTTTTTTTTTGGGGGGGGGGAGGGGGGGGAGGGGNNGGGGGGGGGCGTGTTTGCCAGGTGCAGGAGCCATGGAACACCTCAGAAGCCCTCCCCTAAAAGCTCTGACAGTTTCGGCAGTCCACAAAAAGGTGTCAAAAAACCACCCCAGGAAGCTCTCTAAAAGCCTCTTCACAAGAAGCGGTTGGAGTAAGGTTGTGGGGGTACACTACGGTACAACCATATAGGTAGTTCTCTAAATTAGGGTCCCTTTTCAGGTCCCCCAAATAATTCGGCACCCGTATCAAAAGGACCCTAAAATGGGACCCTAATTTAGAAAACTACCCATATAGAAGAGACTCGAAGGGGA